ATCATTATTAGGGTATCTAGTTTAAAAAATTTGTCTGATGACCCCACCTTCCAACCATCATGGCCGACTTGGTTAAAAATAGAACATAGGGGTAAAATGCAGTTTTTGGTTTATATCTCTGAAACTAAAGCATTTAGAGCAAATCTAACAAGTGGCAAAAATGTTCATCAGATTTAGATTTATTTGCCCTGAAATTTTCAGACCAATCCGACAACTCGTTGTTGGGTTGCTGCCCCTGAGTTAGTAATTTTTTACAAAAATTTTGAAGTTTTTTGTTATTATCTTAGATATCATTTTTAATATCTAATATCTAATACTATTAATTATGATTTTAACCTTATTTTACATGATTTCCAAAGCATCAGTAAATACAGGTGAGCGACACAGGCTCTTGAGAGCCTCTAGTTACTGAATGCAATAGGTCAACTATATTTGGTATATGAAAATATTTTACGATGTACATGTCAGTCTGGCATGTTTTATTTGACCTCATTTTCACGGTTCATTGCTCAATTTTAAGATTTTGTTTTTTGGTCTTTTTTTCCAATACTTTAAGCAATAGGTCAACTATATTTGGCGTGTGGAATGATTGAAAGCTGTACATATCTGTCTGGCAATTATCATCTGACCATGACCTCATTTTCATGGTTCAATAGTCAATCTTAAGTTTTCCTGGTTAAGTTTGTTTCTGAGATACTATATGCAATAGGTCATCTATATTTAAAGCATGTAATGATTGTAGGGTGTACATGTCTGTCTGGCAGGGTTCATCTGATCTTGACCACATTTTCATGGCTCATTGATCATGGTTAAGTTTTCCTGGTTAAGTTTGTTTGATTGAAGTGCAATAGGTCAAATATATTAAAAGCATATTTGGTTAATGGAATGATTGTAATATTTACATGTATTTCTAGTTTGGTTTATCTGACTTTGACCTCACATTCTTGGATCATGTTTATGTTTGTTTTTCCTGAAACAACAGATTGAAGCTTTATAACAAATTGGTCTTTCTTTCATTCAAATTTATATTCTAATGCTGAATATTTTAATAAGAACGTATAGTAATTGTAATTATATACTTTTCTCTATTTCGGGATTTAACATAAAACATGCATCACATTATTTTCTGAATTGATTGCAACAGCAAAGAGTCTGGATTTAAAGCGTAAACTAATTAATAATTTTTGTTTTTGTTACAGATTATACAGCCTTAATATGTAACACTCCTATACCATGAAAGATGCTTTCACACATTAGGATGTTGCACATGTAGGTATTTGGTCATTATAATTGTTCTTAAAACTATGTTTATGTTTGTTAGGTAATAAAAATCCGTTTTTTCCTGAACAGTTTGACAAAAAGATGCTTTATGTTAAAATGGGTCTCGTAAAAGCAGACCTCTGCAGAGAGCAAACTTTAGATTTTGATATAACATTGATGAATTTAATGGGCGCTAATCTCGTAAAAGCAGATCCCCCAGCAGAGCTGATTACATAGTATGATAAATTGTGTTTATGGTAAAATGTATTTAGTTTTTTTGTCTGGCTCTATTTCATTATCAACCAGTTTGAAACTTTATTACAAATTGGTCTCAAAAAAATTTCTTCAAATTTATACTCTAATGAAATATATTCTTAATGGAATGTATAGTAATTATAAATATTCTTCTCCAACATGCAAAGATTAAATTCTGAAAAAATTGCAACAGCAAATAGTCTGTATTTAAAGGTGATATTAATTTATAGTTTTTGTTAAAGATACATCTAAATAAATTAATTGTCCGTAATTTAAGATTTGACATAAAACATGAATCACATTAATTTTTAAATTTTTTTAACAGCCATTAAATATTCTCTAAAGCTGATGCTAATTTAAATTTTTTCTTTTGTAACAGATACAGCCCAGATATGTTCCACTCCTACCCAATGAATATGGTTTCATGGTAGATGCACATTAGGATGTTTAACATGTAGGTAGTCATTACAATTGTACTTTAGACTATGTTTATATGTGTTGGGTAATAAATATCAGTTTTCTCGGGAACAACAGCTTAAATAAAATATTATTTCAACTTAGTGAGTGTACATATTTCTTTTGTTCAAATTTATAATCTAGTGAAGTAAATTTTAACATGAATGCGTAGTAATTTTAAATATTCTTGTGTCCAATTTAGGATTTGACATAAAATATGAGTGACATTTATTTTATAATTGTTGCAACAGCCAATAGTCTCTATTTGAAGCTGATACTAATTGATGATTTGGTTTTGTTATAGATACAGCCGAAATATGTTACACTCCTAGACAATGAAGATGGTTTCATGGTAGATTGATCACACATCTGGATACGTAGCATGTAGGTATTTGGTATTTTTAATTGTACTTTAAACTATGTTTATATGGTTTGCAGGTAACAAAAATAAGTTTTCCCTGGAAGCTTAAATTGGATTTGATAACAAATTGATTTAAAATTTCTTCAATTCAAATTTATACTCTTATGAAGATTATTTTAATGATTATGTATAGAAATTGTTTATATATCTTCAAATTAGGATTTTTCATCAAAAATGCATCATATTAATTTTGAATTAATTGCAACAACCAATATTCTCTATTTAAAGCTGATACTGATTTAGAGTTTTTGTTTTTGTTACAGATAGACTAGATATGTTACCCTCCTAGACAATGAAGATGCTTTCATGGTATACAGCACACGAAGATTTGTATCATGTAGGTATTTGGTCATTATAATTGTACTTTTAACTCTTTTTATATGTGTTGGGTAACAAAAATCAGTTTTCCCGTTGAACAACAGTTTAAAATTTTATTACAAATTTGTCGAACATTTCTTTTATTCAAATATTTACTGTAATAAGTTAAGTAATTGTAAATATTCTAGTCTCCAATTTAGGATTTGACATAAAACATGCATCACATTAATTTCTGAATTGATTGCAACATCAAATATTCCCTATTTAAAGCTGATACTAATTTACAATTTTTGTTTTTGTTACAGATAACGCCTAAATATGTTACACTCTTCGACAATGAAAATGGTTTCATTGTAGATAGCACATTAGGATGTCACATGTAGGTATTTCTTCATTACAATTTTTTTATTTAAACTAGGTTTATTAGCTCACCTGGCCCACAGGGCCAAGTGAGCTTTTCTCATCACTTGGCGTCCATCGTCGTCCGTTAACTTTTACAAAAATCTCCTCTGAAACTACTGAGCCAAATTTAACCAAACTTGGCCACAATCATCACTAGGGTATCTAGTTTTAAAAATGTGTCCGATGACCCCGCCTGCCAACCAAGATGGCCGACATGGCTAAAAATAGAACATAGGGGTAAAATGCAGTTTTTGGCTTATATCTCTGAAACTAAAGCATTTAGAGCAAATCTGACTATGGGTAAAAATGTTCATCAGGTTAAGATCTATCTGCCCTGAAATTTTCAGATGAATCAGACAACCCTTTGTTGGGTTGCTGCCCCTGAATTAGTAATTTTAAGGAAATTTTGCAGTTTTTTGTTATCTTGAATATTATTATAGATGGAGATAAACTGTAAACAGCCATTATGTTCAGCAAAGTCAGATCTACAAAGAAGTCAACATGACCAATATGGTCAATTGACCCCATAAGGAGTTATTGCCCTTTAAAGTCAAATTTAACAATTATTTGTAAATTTTTGTAATCTTTTACAAAAATCTTCTCTCCTGAAACAACTGAGACAAATTTAACCAAACTTGGCCACAATCATCACTAGGGTATCTAGTTTAATAAATGTGTCCGATGACCCTGCCTGCCAACCAACATGTCAGACATGGCTAAAAATAGAACTTTGGGGGAAAATGCAGTTTTTGACTTGTATTTCTGAAACTAAAGCAAATGTATAACGGTTGCATTATTTCATGCATCAATTGTAAATAAAAATATCAGGTGAGCGACACAGGCTCCTTGGAGCCTCTAGTATTTGTTAGGCATTAAAATCAGTTTTCACTGAAACAACAGATTGAAGCTTTATAACAAATTGGTCTAAAATTTCTTTTATTCCTATTTATATCCTAATGAAGTATATTTTAATAAGAATGTATAGTTATTGTAAATATACGTCTCCAATTTAGGATTTGACATAAAACATGCATCACATTAATTTCTGAATTGATTGCAACAGCAAATAGCTTTGATTTTGAAGCTGAAACTAATTTAAAATATTTGTTTTTGTTACAGATACTGCCTAAATATGTAAGACTCCTATACCATGAAAGATGCTTCCATTGCAGATAGCACATTAGGATTAGTCACATGTAGGTTTTTATTCATAACAATTGTTCTTAAAACTATGTTTATATTTGTTAGGTAATAAAAATCAGTTTTTCCTGGAACAACAGCTTGAAATTTTATTACAAATTGGTCCTACATTACATTTATTGAAATATTCACTGTAATGAGATATATTTTAATAAGAATGTATAGTGATTGTAAAAATTCTTGTCTCCAATTAAGGATTTGACATTACAACATGCATCACATTAATTTCTGAATTGATTGCAACAGCAAAAAGTCTGGATTAAAAGCTGAAATTAATGTTTATTTTTTTTTGTTTTCATTACAGATACAGCCTAAATATGTAAGACTCCTATACCATGAAAGATGCTTCCATTGCAGATGCACATTAGGATAAGTCACATGTAGGTATTTGGTCATAACAATTTTCCTTCAAACTATATTTATATTTGTTAGGTAATAAAAATCAGTTTTTTCCTGAAACAACAGATTGAAGCTTTATAACAAATTGGTCTAAAATTTCTTTCATTCAAATTTATACTCTTAATGCTGAATATTTTAATAAGAACGTATAGTAATTGTAATTATATACTTTTCTCTATTTTGGGATTTAACATAAAACATGCATCACATTATTTTCTGAATTGATTGCAACAGCAAAGAGTCTGGATTTAAAGCGTAAACTAATTAATAATTTTTGTTTTTGTTACAGATTATACAGCCTTAATATGTAACACTCCTATACCATGAAAGATGCTTTCACACATTAGGATGTTGCACATGTAGGTATTTGGTCATTACAATTGTTCTTAAAACTATGTTTATGTTTGTTAGGTAATAAAAATCCGTTTTTTCCTGAACAGTTTGACAAAAAGATGCTTTATGTTAAAATGGGTCTCGTAAAAGCAGACCTCTGCAGAGAGCAAACTTTAGATTTTGATATAACATTGATTAATTTAATGGGCGCTAATCTCGTAAAAGCAGATCCCCCAGCAGAGCTGATTACATAGTATGATAACTTGTGTTTATGGTAAAATGTATTTAGTTTTTTTGTCTGGCTCTATTTCATTATCAACCAATTTGAAACTTTATTACAAATTGGTCTCAAAAAAATTTCTTCAAATTTATACTCTAATGAAATATATTCTTAATGGAATGTATAGTAATTATAAATATTCTTCTCCAACATGCAAAGATTAAATTCTGAAAAAATTGCAACAGCAAATAGTCTGTATTTAAAGCTGATATTAATTTATAGTTTTTGTTAAAGATACATCTAAATATGTTGCACTCCTAGACAGAGAAGATTGATTCATGGCAGATAGGAAGAGTCAACATGTAAGTATTTGGTCATTACAATTGTACTTAAAACTATGTTAATATTTGGAAGTCAATAAAAATCTGTTTTCACTGAAACAATAGCTTAAAATTTTATTACAGATTGGTCTAAAATATCTTTTATTCGAATTTCAAATGTGGTATATTTTAATAAGAATGAAAGAGTAATTGTAAATTAATTGTCCGTAATTTAAGATTTGACATAAAACATGAATCACATTAATTTTTTAATTTTTTTAACAGCCATTAAATATTCTCTAAAAGCTGATGCTAATTTAATTTTTTTCTTTTGTAACAGATACAGCCCAGATATGTTCCACTCCTACCCAATGAATATGGTTTCATGGTAGATGCACATTAGGATGTTTAACATGTAGGTAGTCATTACAATTGTACTTTAGACTATGTTTATATGTGTTGGGTAATAAATATCAGTTTTCTCGGGAACAACAGCTTAAATAAAATATTATTTCAACTTAGTGTACATATTTCTTTTGTTCAAATTTATAATCTAGTGAAGTAAATTTTAACATGAATGCGTAGTAATTTTAAATATTCTTGTGTCCAATTTAGGATTTGACATAAAATATGAGTGACATTTATTTTATAATTGTTGCAACAGCCAATAGTCTCTATTTGAAGCTGATACTAATTGATGATTTGGTTTTGTTATAGATACAGCCGAAATATGTTACACTCCTAGACAATGAAGATGGTTTCATGGTAGATTGATCACACATCTGGATACGTAGCATGTAGGTATTTGGTATTTTTAATTGTACTTTAAACTATGTTTATATGGTTTGCAGGTAACAAAAATAAGTTTTCCCTGGAAGCTTAAATTAGATTTGATAACAAATTGATTTAAAATTTCTTCAATTCAAATTTATACTCTTATGAAGATTATTTTAATGATAATGTATAGAAATTGTTTATATACTTGTCTTCAAATTAGGATTTTTCATCAAAAATGCATCATATTAATTTTGAATTAATTGCAACAACCAATATTCTCTATTTAAAGCTGATACTGATTTAGAGTTTTTGTTTTTGTTACAGATAGACTAGATATGTTACCCTCCTAGACAATGAAGATGCTTTCATGGTATACAGCACACGAAGATTTGTATCATGTAGGTATTTGGTCATTATAATTGTACTTTTAACTCTTTTTATATGTGTTGGGTAACAAAAATCAGTTTTCCCGTTGAACAACAGTTTAAAATTTTGTTACAAATTTGTCCAACATTTCTTTTATTCAAATATTTACTGTAATAAGCTAAGTAATTGTAAATATTCTAGTCTCCAATTTAGGATTTGACATAAAACATGCATCACATTAATTTCTGAATTGATTGCAACATCAAATATTCCCTATTTAAAGCTGATACTAATTTACAATTTTTGTTTTTGTTACAGATAACGCCTAAATATGTTACACTCTTCGACAATGAAAATGGTTTCATTGTAGATAGCACATTAGGATGTCACATGTAGGTATTTATTCATTACAATTTTTTTATTTAAACTAGGTTTATTAGCTCACCTGCAAGTGAGCTTTTCTCATCACTTGGCGTCCGTCGTCGTCCCTTAACTTTTACAAAAATCTCCCCTGAAACTACTGGGCCAAATTTAACCAAACTTGGCCACAATCATCACTAGGGTATCTAGTTTTAAAAATGTGTCCGATGACCCCGCCTGCCAACCAAGATGGCCGACATGGCTAAAAATAGAACATAGGGGTAAAATGCAGTTTTTGGCTTATATCTCTGAAACTAAAGCATTTAGAGCAAATCTGACTGGGTAAAAATGTTCATCAGGTTAAGATCTATCTGCCCTGAAATTTTCAGATGAATCAGACAACCCTTTGTTGGGTTGCTGCCCCTGAATTAGTAATTTTAAGGAAATTTTGCAGTTTTTTGTTATCTTGAATATTATTATAGATGGAGATAAACTGTAAACAGCCATTATGTTCAGCAAAGTCAGATCTACAAAGAAGTCAACATGACCAATATACCCCATAAGGAGTTATTGCCCTTTAAAGTCAAATTTAACAATTATTCGTAAATTTTTGTAATCTTTTACAAAAATCTTCTCTCCTGAAACAACTGAGACAAATTTAACCAAACTTGGCCACAATCATCACTAGGGTATCTAGTTTAATAAATGTGTCCGATGACCCTGCCTGCCAACCAACATGTCAGACATTGCTAAAAATAGAACTTTGGGGGAAAATGCAGTTTTTGACTTGTATCTCTGAAACTAAAGCAAATGTATAACGGTTGCATTATTTCAGGCATCAATTGTAAATAAAAATATCAGGTGAGCGACACAGGCTCCTTGGAGCCTCTAGTATTTGTTAGGCATTAAAATCAGTTTTCACTGAAACAACAGATTGAAGCTTTATAACAAATTGGTCTAAAATTTCTTTTATTCCTATTTATATCCTAATGAAGTATATTTTAATAAGAATGTATAGTTATTGTAAATATACGTCTCCAATTTAGGATTTGACATAAAACATGCATCACATTAATTTCTGAATTGATTGCAACAGCAAATAGCTTTGATTTTGAAGCTGAAACTAATTTAAAATATTTGTTTTTGTTACAGATACTGCCTAAATATGTAAGACTCCTATACCATGAAAGATGCTTCCATTGCAGATAGCACATTAGGATTAGTCACATGTAGGTTTTTATTCATAACAATTGTTCTTAAAACTATGTTTATATTTGTTAGGTAATAAAAATCAGTTTTTCCTGGAACAACAGCTTGAAATTTTATTACAAATTGGTCCTACATTACATTTATTGAAATATTCACTGTAATGAGATATATTTTAATAAGAATGTATAGTGATTGTAAAAATTCTTGTCTCCAATTAAGGATTTGACATTACAACATGCATCACATTAATTTCTGAATTGATTGCAACAGCAAAAAGTCTGGATTATAAGCTGAAATTAATGTTTATTTTTTTTGTTTTCATTACAGATACAGCCTAAATATGTAAGACTCCTATACCATGAAAGATGCTTCCATTGCAGATGCACATTAGGATAAGTCACATGTAGGTATTTGGTCATTACAATTTTCCTTCAAACTATATTTATATTTGTTAGGTAATAAAAATCAGTTTTTTCCTGAAACAACAGATTGAAGCTTTATAACAAATTGGTCTAAAATTTCTTTCATTCAAATTTATACTCTTAATGCTGAATATTTTAATAAGAACGTATAGTAATTGTAATTATATACTTTTCTCTATTTCGGGATTTAACATAAAACATGCATCACATTATTTTCGGAATTGATTGCAACAGCAAAGAGTCTGGATTTAAAGCGTAAACTAATTAATAATTTTTGTTTTTGTTACAGATTATACAGCCTTAATATGTAACACTCCTATACCATGAAAGATGCTTTCACACATTAGGATGTTGCACATGTAGGTATTTGGTCATTACAATTGTTCTTAAAACTATGTTTATGTTTGTTAGGTAATAAAAATCCGTTTTTTCCTGAACAGTTTGACAAAAAGATGCTTTATGTTAAAATGGGTCTTGTAAAAGCAGACCTCTGCAGAGAGCAAACTTTAGATTTTGATATAACATTGATGAATTTAATGGGCGCTAATCTCGTAAAAGCAGATTCCCCAGCAGAGCTGATTACATAGTATGATAACTTGTGTTTATGGTAAAATGTATTTAGTTTTTTTGTCTGGCTCTATTTCATTATCAACCAATTTGAAACTTTATTACAAATTGGTCTCAAAAAAATTTCTTCAAATTTATACTCTAATGAAATATATTCTTGATGGAATGTATAGTAATTATAAATATTCTTCTCCAACATGCAAAGATTAAATTCTGAAAAAATTGCAACAGCAAATAGTCTGTATTTAAAGCTGATATTAATTTATAGTTTTTGTTAAAGATACATCTAAATATGTTGCACTCCTAGACAGAGAAGATGGATTCATGGCAGATAGGAAGAGTCAACATGTAAGTATTTGGTCATTACAATTGTACTTAAAACTATGTTAATATTTGGAAGTCAATAAAAATCTGTTTTCACTGAAACAATAGACACATTTATCAAGATCTGACCTCAAAAACATGTGCGCTGCCATTAAGGCGTCACGTGGTACGTCAGCCATAACAGTAGTGAAAGATAACGCACGTGCATCAACAACAACATTATCGATCTTTTGTTTACATTTTTATTTTATCCGTTTTTTCTTTAATTAAGTAATGGATAGTGGGAAAAAATATAAAAAAGGTGGTGGAAGTTCTTGTGCAGTCAATGGTTGCTCTAATAACCGTCGAAAATTAAATTTATGGAAAGAATCAATGTGTGAAATACACGGACAATTTCACGAAGACTGTGCGTGTTTAATTCCATATAAATTTCATCTAATGCCGTCGGATGGTCCAATTAGAGCAGAATGGACGAAGGCAATCAATAGAAAAACTTTGCCGAAAACAGTTTTCGTTTGCTCGGAACATTTTCTAGATGGATTGCCGACGGAAAGAAATCCATTTCCAAAACTTAAAATGGGTTATGAAACGAAAGTAACACCTGGCCGGCGCAAAATTCATAAACATGAATCAGATGTTAAAAAACGTAAATTGATTGACTGTGATGATGACAATTCAGATTTTGAAGAACTTGATTTAAGTCTTGAAGTAACTGACCAATCTTTACCCGAAGCCGTCTGTAGTTTTAACGTTGTCAACCCAATAACTACATGTGCGTCAACCCAATATGAAGAAACTGACTTTTTACTCCACAACGACCATTCATATGCACACGCATGGACTGACTTACAGGATAAATTTGCTCAAACAAACCTTACATTAACTGAGGAGAAAGGAGTGCAAATAAAATTGGATGGAGGTACAATGTCAGCTACCCGACATATTGTGACTGATAGTGACTCCTTACTTTATACTGGTGTAACGAAGGAAGTTTTTTTCACTTTGGTCGAGTGCATGTCCCAGTTTAACACTTTCAGCTTTCAACTCGATATTGCCGATCAAATAATGTTAGTTTTAATGAGGTTAAAACTTAACTTGATATATCAAGATATAGGCCATAGGTTTGGAATTTCTGATAGCCTAGCATGCAAAATGTTCAACTCTTGGATCCCATTGTTGGCAGATAAGTTGCAAGCTCTTATAATTTGGCTTCCAAGGGAAACATTAAGAGACTGCTGCCCAGAATCTTTCAGAGAAAACTACCCTCGAACAACGTGCATAATAGATTGTGCTGAGACATTTATCCAAAGACCTACTAATTTGAAAAGTCGGGGCGAGACATATAGCAACTATAAATCGCACAATACGGCTAAGTACATGGTAGGGATATCTCCTCATGGACAAATTATGTTCATATCAAAAGCGTTTGGTGGACGTGCAAGTGACAAATTTATTGTTGAAAAAAGTGGTTTCCTTAATTATCTGTTACCTGGTGATGAAATAATGGCTGATAGAGGCTTTACAATAGAGGATTTACTTTTCCCCCGAAGGGTTAAACTTAATATTCCGTCCTTTACTAAGGGTAAGCCACAATTGAGTGCTGAGGACGTCACTTCTACACGGAGGATTGCACGTGTTAGAATCCATGTAGAAAGAGCAATCAGGCGACTGAAAGTGTTTAAAATCTTGAGTGGTACAGTACCTGTGTCTTCACTAAAACTTTTTGACGACATTCTTATTGTTTGTGCTGCACTTGTGAATTTAAAATCTGATCTCATTAGAGATACATGTACAGAGGAGGACACTGAATAAATTATAGCAAAACCAATGTTGTACCGTATATAATTTTCTAGTAAATATGACTTCGTCCAATTAATTGTATTGTTTTGTTTTTTGTGTATAGATATAGTTGTTTTAAAAATTTTCGGTACTTGCACATCATATACATGTACTACAAATGACTATTGTACCAAACATTTTTTAAAAGATGCATACATGTGTGTAATATGTACCAAATAAAACAACCACTGTGTGGATAATAATAATGAGCCAATTACCAAAAGATAAAATTTCAACTACAATATTCTCACCACAAGACACCTTAGATCTTAGATATTTATGACATAACATGACATAATAAAATGTTACTTGTAAAACTTATACTTCATCATCCCATGATAAATATCAACACTGTGTAAACATTGTGTATCATTTGATCTCCAAGATAAACATTATTGATCTACATGTATATTCTTACATACTCAATTATCAATGGAAAAACAAAATGCCATGATTTTAAAATTGCAACTTGTATGAAGACAAATGGAAGAATATAGATATCTATTCACTTAGAAGATGCAAATTTTGCATTGTTCAAGAATTTAAGATACCATGAATAACCTAGTGTTTAGTTGATTGATTTATTGATTGCTTAACGTCCAGTGGCAAATATTTCGTGCATATTCAGGATGATAGCTTGATTGGTATCTTTAGTTGTGTTAACTGGGGGCAGTTCACATTAGAAACTTGACTACTGTAAAATCAGATATTAATTAATGTTTTTATTTATTTTAAAAATATTATTGATTAAGTAAAGCAACTTTAAGATACATATACATGTATATTTAATATTGAAATTTGACATGACAAGAATGAATGCACTAATTAATTTCTGAATTTACAGTATTAAATGATTTTCCTGATTAGCAACAAGAACACTTTGAGGGGGTTCATATATTTTTTTTAATTCTGAGGATTTTCATTATCAGCATATCTTTTCATTGAAATAATTAAAAATCATACATGTAAATAAATAAGAATGTTGTATCTACATTATACATTTACATGTATATTCAAGCAAAATATAGAAAAGAACTTGGTATTAATGTTCTACTTGATTAGTAAACATAATGAAAATACTAAATGACTTTAAATATTAAAATCCTAATGAAATGTGTATGATATCACAATCGCATAAATTTTTTAAAAGCTTTGCTGAAAACTAATCTATCATCTTCAATTTCATCAACAATAATATTCATCATTTTCTTGAAATAAAATGTACGCAGTCTAGCAACATGCTCACGTGCATATTGTTCATCATATGGTACTTCAATGAACTTAAATTCATCAGGATTTAGCCAAATTAAAAGTTTACATTTTCTTAGTCCAGTGCAAAACATAGTTAACTGAATTTGCATAAAAAATCCTCGATTCCCTTTCACTTTTAAAACTAAAATACCATTGTTATTCATATGAACATCATATTTTTGACCTGTGAATAGTTCATTCAATGTTGTCCACTTAACAGAAGGTACAGGACTTTTAATTTCCAGCAATGTGTCGTCATTTAAAATGCCATCCGGACTTGCAGATAACCAGTTCTCTTCTGATGATACATATGTTCCCTTTTCAACGACATGGTATCCATTTGTCAATAAATACTCCTTAGCTGCAATTTCACCTTCTTGACCGTGCTTTGTAAATTTGTTACCTACAAACTTTGGATGAAGATGTTCACGAATAAAGTTAGTACAGTCTGTAGTTTCCTTAATCGGAACTTTGCTTGCGCTGCTTGCAGTTATTCTAATTTTTCTTGCGTCTTTCCATAGAACACTCTTGCTCTGGTTAATAGTGTCAGTTTGTATTTTTTTAGTACGGGCCAAGTCGACAGCAAGATATTTAGAATAAAAGGATGAGCACCTTTGACAAGAACTTAATGAGTCATGTTCACCATGGTCTTTAGGAATGTTCTCCTTAACGGCTGGTTTGCTGACGAAACTTTTATTAATTGTTGTTCCTTTTAGTTTGAACAAGGGGAGAAGGGGAGACTGTTCTACAGCTGTTCTAAGTTCTTGGGAAGAACAATACATTGGTGTGTCACGAACACCTGGAGCATTTACATTGAAATCTTCTAGTAAATTTTCACCCTGCTTTGGTTTTTTGAACACTATGTTTGACAAAGGCCTTGGCTCAATGTTTCTCTTGGTACCTCTGTTCCACATGGCATTGTCATCTGTACAGCTAGCACCAGTCATGTTATTCCTGACTGCATGTTCAACCTTCCAAAGCACTGCACCTACATGGCTACAGGATAGCCCTTGTCCTGCCATACAAGTACACCATCCTTGTACAACGGTTCCGTCCATGGAGCAAATTACATAGGCTTCGTTCACCCTACTTACTGTCTGGGAAGCACGAACGTCTGCTTTCAAATACATTCTGCCATCCGAGAGAATGTTATGCAAAACTTTGTCAACATTGCCGCTCTGAAAATAGTTGTAGCTTTGGAGACTTTTAAAGTTTTTCATTTCTGCACCATCCACGGCTTTTGACGATATCAAATAATTAAAAATGTCCCCATACATGATGTTTGGCCACTTTCTCATGTCGTCAATCCACTCCGTTACGTTATTTAATTCTGAGGGCATTGATCTTTTCATCTGAGTAGTCATAATACAGGTAATAATCCAACAATTTTTACGCACTGATTCGCTTTGTTTACAATTTCTTTCACTAGTGCAATGGCGGACTGCTATCGTGACGCGCAAGCGGTAGTTATCTTATCAAAGGGCGATAATTGAATAAATCCGTCTATAGCTTAAAATTTTATTACAGATTGGTCTAAAATATCTTTTATTCGAATTTCAAATGTGGTATATTTTAATAAGAATGAAAGAGTAATTGTAAATTAATTGTCCGTAATTTAAGATTTGACATAAAACATGAATCACATTAATTTTTAAATTTTTTTAACAGCCATTAAATATTCTCTAAAGCTGATGCTAATTTAAATTTTTTCTTTTGTAACAGATACAGCCCAGATATGTTCCACTCCTACCCACTGAATATGGTTTCATGGTAGATGCACATTAGGATGTTTAACATGTAGGTAGTCATTACAATTGTACTTTAGACTATGTTTATATGTGTTGGGTAATAAATATCAGTTTTCTCGGGAACAACAGCTTAAATAAAATATTATTTCAACTTAGTGTACATATTTCTTTTGTTCAAATTTATAATCTAGTGAAGTAAATTTTAACATGAATGCGTAGTAATTTTAAATATTCTTGTGTCCAATTTAGGATTTGACATAAAATATGAGTGACATTTATTTTATAATTGTTGCAACAGCCAATAGTCTCTATTTGAAGCTGATACTAATTGATGATTTGGTTTTGTTATAGATACAGCCGAAATATGTTACACTCCTAGACAATGAAGATGGTTTCATGGTAGATTGATCACACATCTGGATACGTAGCATGTAGGTATTTGGTATTTTTAATTGTACTTTAAACTATGTTTATATGGTTTGCAGGTAACAAAAATAAGTTTTCCCTGGAAGCTTAAATTAGATTTGATAACAAATTGATTTAAAATTTCTTCAATTCAAATTTATACTCTTATGAAGATTATTTTAATGATAATGTATAGAAATTGTTTATATACTTGTCTTCAAATTAGGATTTTTCATCAAAAATGCATCATATTAATTTTGAATTAATTGCAACAACCAATATTCTCTATTTAAAGCTGATACTGATTTAGAGTTTTTGTTTTTGTTACAGATAGACTAGATATGTTACCCTCCTAGACAATGAAGATGCTTTCATGGTATACAGCACACGAAGATTTGTATCATGTAGGTATTTGGTCATTATAATTGTACTTTTAACTCTTTTTATATGTGTTGGGTAACAAAAATCAGTTTTCCCGTTGAACAACAGTTTAAAATTTTATTACAAATTTGTCGAACACTTCTTTTATTCAAATATTTACTGTAATAAGTTAAGTAATTGTAAATATTCTAGTCTCCAATTTAGGATTTGACATAAAACATGCATCACATTAATTTCTGAATTGATTGCAACATCAAATATTCCCTATTTAATGCTGATACTAATTTACAATTTTTGTTTTTGTTACAGATAACGCCTAAATATGTTACACTCTTCGACAATGAAAATGGTTTCATTGTAGATAGCACATTAGGATGTCACATGTAGGTATTTATTCATTACAATTTTTTTATTTAAACTAGGTTTATTAGCTCACCTGGCCCACAGGGCCAAGTGAGCTTTTCTCATCACTTGGCGTCCATCGTCGTCCGTTAACTTTTACAAAAATCTCCTCTGAAACTACTGAGCCAAATTTAACCAAACTTGGCCACAATCATCACTAGGGTATCTAGTTTTAAAAATTTGTCCGATGACCCCGCCTGCCAACCAAGATGGCCGACATGGCTAAAAATAGAACATAGGGGTAAAATGCAGTTTTTGGCTTATATCTCTGAAACTAAAGCATTTTTGACTATGGGTAAAAATGTTCATCAGGTTAAGATCTATCTGCCCTGAAATTTTCAGAAGAATCAGACAACCCTTTGTTGGGTTGCTGCCCCTGAATTAGTAATTTTAAGGAAATTTTGCAGTTTTTTGTTATCTTGAATATTATTATAGATGGAGATAAACTGTAAACAGCCATTATGTTCAGCAAAGTCAGATCTACAAAGAAGTCAACATGACCAATATGGTCAATTGACCCCATAAGGAGTTATTGCCCTTTAAAGTCAAATTTAACAATTATTCGTAAATTTTTGTAATCTTTTACAAAAATCTTCTCTCCTGAAACAACTGAGACAAATTTAACCAAACTTGGCCACAATCATCACTAGGGTATCTAGTTTAATAAATGTGTCCGATGACCCTGCCTGCCAACCAACATGTCAGACATGGCTAAAAATAGAACTTTGGGGGAAAATGCAGTTTTTGACTTGTATCTCTGAAACTAAAGCAAATGTATAACGGTTGCATTATTTCATGCATCAATTGTAAATAAAAATATCAGGTGAGCGACACAGGCTCCTTGGAGCCTCTAGTATTTGTTAGGCATTAAAATCAGTTTTCACTGAAACAACAGATTGAAGCTTTATAACAAATTGGTCTAAAATTTCTTTTATTCCTATTTATATCCTAATGAAGTATATTTTAATAAGAATGTATAGTTATTGTAAATATACGTCTCCAATTTAGGATTTGACATAAAACATGCATCACATTAATTTCTGAATTGATTGCAACAGCAAATAGCTTTGATTTTGAAGCTGAAACTAATTTAAAATATTTGTTTTTGTTACAGATACTGCCTAAATATGTAAGACTCCTATACCATGAAAGATGCTTCCATTGCAGATAGCACATTAGGATTAGTCACATGTAGGTTTTTATTCATAACAATTGTTCTTAAAACTATGTTTATATTTGTTAGGTAATAAAAATCAGTTTTTCCTGGAACAACAGCTTGAAATTTTATTACAAATTGGTCCTACATTACATTTATTGAAATATTCACTGTAATGAGATATATTTTAATAAGAATGTATAGTGATTGTAAAAATTCTTGTCTCCAATTAAGGATTTGACATTACAACATGCATCACATTAATTTCTGAATTGATTACAACAGCAAAAAGTCTGGATTAAAAGCTGAAATTAATGTTTATTTTTTTTGTTTTCATTACAGATACAGCCTAAATATGTAAGACTCCTATACCATGAAAGATGCTTCCATTGCAGATGCACATTAGGATAAGTCACATGTAGGTATTTGGTCATTACAATTTTCCTTCAAACTATATTTATATTTGTTAGGTAATAAAAATCAGTTTTTTCCTGAAACAACAGATTGAAGCTTTATAACAAATTGGTCTAAAATTTCTTTCATTCAAATTTATACTCTTAATGCTGAATATTTTAATAAGAACGTATAGTAATTGTAATTATATACTTTTCTCTATTTTGGGATTTAACATAAAACATGCATCACATTATTTTCTGAATTGATTGCAACAGCAAAGAGTCTGGATATAAAGCGTAAACTAATTAATAATTTTTGTTTTTGTTACAGATTATACAGCCTTAATATGTAACACTCCTATACCATGAAAGATGCTTTCACACATTAGGATGTTGCACATGTAGGTATTTGGTCATTACAATTGTTCTTAAAACTATGTTTATGTTTGTTAGGTAATAAAAATCCGTTTTTTCCTGAACAGTTTGACAAAAAGATGCTTTATGTTAAAATGGGTCTCGTAAAAGCAGACCTCTGCAGAGAGCAAACTTTAGATTTTGATATAACATTGATGAATTTAATGGGCGCTAATCTCGTAAAAGCAGATTCCCCAGCAGAGCTGATTACATAGTATGATAACTTGTGTTTATGGTAAAATGTATTTAGTTTTTTTGTCTGGCTCTATTTCATTATCAACCAATTTGAAACTTTATTACAAATTGGTCTCAAAAAAATTTCTTCAAATTTATACTCTAATGAAATATATTCTTAATGGAATGTATAGTAATTATAAATATTCTTCTCCAACATGCAAAGATTAAATTCTGAAAAAATTGCAACAGCAAATAGTCTGTATTTAAAGCTGATATTAATTTATAGTTTTTGTTAAAGATACATCTAAATATGTTGCACTCCTAGACAGAGAAGATGGATTCATGGCAGATAGGAAGAGTCAACATGTAAGTATTTGGTCATTACAATTGTACTTAAAACTATGTTAATATTTGGAAGTCAATAAAAATCTGTTTTCACTGAAACAATAGCTTAAAATTTTATTACAGATTGGTCTAAAATATCTTTTATTCGAATTTCAAATGTGGTATATTTTAATAAGAATGAAAGAGTAATTGTAAATTAATTGTCCGTAATTTAAGATTTGACATAAAACATGAATCACATTAATTTTTAAATTTTTTTAACAGCCATTAAATATTCTCTAAAGCTGATGCTAATTTAAATTTTTTCTTTTGTAACAGATACAGCCCAGATATGTTCCACTCCTACCCACTGAATATGGTTTCATGGTAGATGCACATTAGGATGTTTAACATGTAGGTAGTCATTACAATTGTACTTTAGACTATGTTTATATGTGTTGGGTAATAAATATCAGTTTTCTCGGGAACAACAGCTTAAATAAAATATTATTTCAACTTAGTGTACATATTTCTTTTGTTCAAATTTATAATCTAGTGAAGTAAATTTTAACATGAATGCGTAGTAATTTTAAATATTCTTGTGTCCAATTTAGGATTTGACATAAAATATGAGTGACATTTATTTTATAATTGTTGCAACAGCCAATAGTCTCTATTTGAAGCTGATACTAATTGATGATTTGGTTTTGTTATAGATACAGCCGAAATATGTTACACTCCTAGACAATGAAGATGGTTTCATGGTAGATTGATCACACATCTGGATACGTAGCATGTAGGTATTTGGTATTTTTAATTGTACTTTAAACTATGTTTATATGGTTTGCAGGTAACAAAAATAAGTTTTCCCTGGAAGCTTAAATTAGATTTGATAACAAATTGATTTAAAATTTCTTCAATTCAAATTTATACTCTTATGAAGATTATTTTAATGATAATGTATAGAAATTGTTTTTATACTTGTCTTCAAATTAGGATTTTTCATCAAAAATGCATCATATTAATTTTGAATTAATTGCAACAACCAATATTCTCTATTTAAAGCTGATACTGATTTAGAGTTTTTGTTTTTGTTACAGATAGACTAGATATGTTACCCTCCTAGACAATGAAGATGCTTTCATGGTATACAGCACACGAAGATTTGTATCATGTAGGTATTTGGTCATTATAATTGTACTTTTAACTCTTTTTATATGTGTTGGGTAACAAAAATCAGTTTTCCCGTTGAACAACAGTTTAAAATTTTATTACAAATTTGTCGAACATTTCTTTTATTCAAATATTTACTGTAATAAGTTAAGTAATTGTAAATATTCTAGTCTCCAATTTAGGATTTGACATAAAACATGCATCACATTAATTTCTGAATTGATTGCAACATCAAATATTCCCTATTTAATGCTGATACTAATTTACAATTTTTGTTTTTGTTACAGATAACGCCTAAATATGTTACACTCTTCGACAATGAAAATGGTTTCATTGTAGATAGCACATTAGGATGTCACATGTAGGTATTTATTCATTACAATTTTTTTATTTAAACTAGGTTTATTAGCTCACCTGGCCCACAGGGCCAAGTGAGCTTTTCTCATCACTTGGCGTCCATCGTCGTCCGTTAACTTTTACAAAAATCTCCTCTGAAACTACTGAGCCAAATTTAACCAAACTTGGCCACAATCATCACTAGGGTATCTAGTTTTAAAAATTTGTCCGATGACCCCGCCTGCCAACCAAGATGGCCGACATGGCTAAA